AGCTGGTTTCCTATTCCGATGCCCCCCTTCAGCATCACCAAGCCCACCTGTATACCCAGTAACGTCTTTCCCTTGTGTATGCAACACCATTAGAATACCATCCACTTGTTGACGAACCCGTTCTCTACATATTGAACATATCTAAACTTGATTTTAATGTTCGAATATAAATTCAGTGATGTGCACAAATCTGAAATAACAGAAGAATAACTGCCGGTATTAAAAGCTCAACAAGGGCTTTTGGGACTAAAAATTTGCTGTAAATTTTAAATAGTTTTCTAAGTGACATCTAATCGACTTAAAAAGGAAATATGGAGTGATTTTTTTCCCTCTTCAAATTTGGCAGTTAGCATCAAAACCTGAATGCAATGTACCTTTGCATATTCAATATTTTAATTGTCCAGATATTTTTCAAAAGAACCTGTTTCCACTGTTTAGTATTTTTATCTGCAGACATGAAAGAATTCTGATTGTGTGCAATTTGTATGGATTTATTCTTGGAATTTCCTTCAATAAAATGATGAAATCAGATCTGCAGGTTTGTTTGACCCCTGCTACTTCCTACAAAACGTGTATTTGGCTTGGAAGTAAATGGGCCACTTTGTTGTCATTTTATGAGAATATTTTTAAACGAGAAATGCCAGTAAGGCCTTGCCATTATCAGAATAATGGAGTTGTACTTAAAGGATGTTCAAATTCTTAATAAAATGACTGCTGTTGTTGGTAATTCCGCACACATACGATGTGTAAATACGTTGTATCTGCTTCAATTTGTTGTCTCATTTTTGGGGGGAGGGATTGCTTCAGGTTTGCAATTTTGAGGGTTTTCTTGATAGCAGGGATCAGCTAGTGAGATATTAATACATCAAAATTATGGGATGCACGGGTAGTTTTCTCTGACTTAGAACAAAGAGAAACATCTTTTGATGTGGCTACTTGGTAAATGTCAAGTCAAAAAGGCAACCACAAGCAAGATGATACAAAATTTGATGTTTGCCAAACAACTGGAGTTAAAGCTTCAAATCATGTGCAACTATCAAATCCTTTTTGTCGAGAGGCTCTTGTTAAAATCACAATTCCAGAAATCAATTGTTACAATTTGTAAAAGTCGTATACAGAGTTAAGAGCTTTTCATATTTTGATCCTTATTCAAAATATTTTAAGCTTGTGGAAAAAGTAAATACTAACAACATTAATTGGACGAGCCTTCAAAAAGATTCACAAGCACATGTATTAGAACTGAATACTTCTCATTACTAAGTTTTAGCATGATTTTTCCACTTCATGTTTCCATTGTTGTTCTCTATTAAGAACATTTTAACTGAAGGTTGACAAGTAGAATTTAAAATTAAGAAACCATAAGGCACTAATGTGGATAGCGACACTATGGCTTCACTTCTAAAGAAAAGACTGCCACAAATCGGGAGTTCACCTAAAAGCTGATTGGATAGCAATAAAAAAAATATGTACACAAAATAAAATCACTGAGAATAAACGGATAACTGTTTTCACTTGTTTACATCGGACATGATCAGGAACGTTGGAAACTTTGGCAGTAACACACTTTCATACTCTCACAGCATGGTGCAAAATGCTCAAGCAAAACCGATTTTTGGCAAGAATGTCAAACACGAAACAAAGAGTGCTTGATTTGTATTAATATGCATGATCTGCACAACCCTTCACATGTACATTCAAAATAGTATTAGGCCATGTCAGAATTACTTGTCTGTGGCTTAAAATTACAAGCGAGTCTATGGTAATGGCTGAAGCTAGTTCCCATTGAAATGTGTACAATTTGAAGCCGCAGCCAAGTGGTTCAGAGCTGCCTTAGTAATCTGAATACGGTTTATACAAATTTTTAACCCGAAAAGTGTTGAATCTTTGGGATATGCTTACTGAAATAAATTGCTACATAAAGACAACAGTCAAAAATATTTTGAAACAAACTCAAAACATGTATGAAACATTTCCAACAGCACTTCTTGGCAAAATAAATATGAGTCCTTTGGATAAAAAGAAAGGGAAGACTGCTCAACCCTAACCATGCTGAATCCAACAAGATTATGAAGG